TGTCTCAGGTCATGCAATTAGACTTCTCATTGCCCAACTACATTCCCTGCCTTGCTGTTTTCCTGGTAAGGAAGTAGTTCATATCTGAAAACTAAATGGACAAAGCCAAATAGTCTGCACTGTGGAAACTGAATTGTACAGACCACACCCCAAAATTTGCTCTGCACTTGTTTCAAAGCACCAAATATTTGACTTCTGGGAAAATAGTGCCAAGGTAAATTAGGCAGAACCGGAAGCAGGAACTCATATATACACCTATGCAGTAGTCGCAGTTTCAGATGTTTGAGTTTCTTTATTTGTGTGATAGAACATGGACTCTTTATCTGGGCTGCACAAATAGTCCATGCTGGCAGAGATGTGGCTGGCATATGACTCACTCGAAGCAGCACACGCACCTCGACACGACTGCCACTCCGGGAAGGGATGTATCCCTGCAGGTCATTCCCCCGCTTCTGGAGCAGGATACACGTGTAAACTTCAGTTATACAATCCCCTTCCTTCAAGTCTGATAGCTTTCTCTATTTTTATCCTAAGTTCTCAGGCTTGGTTTCCAAAGGCCTTCATAATCTGACCCATCCTAACCACCCAATTTTGTCCTGAGTTTCTCTAACAGAATCCTTTCACTCTAGGAAAATGGGGCTTCCTTACTGTCCTCAAAATGCAACTTTGCTCTGTGCCTTTTCCTGTTATTTTCCCATTTGTCCTTTCCTCTCTTCTTTTTAGATTCTAAGTCCTGTGTTTTCACTGAGACCTGGCTCAGATCAACAACCCATCACTCACTTTCCTCTTCTGTTAACTCTTTAATGCTTAGGACTTGGACCAAGCCACATTCTAGCACTGGCTGGGTGTCAGGATAGACTCCCCCCAGCTTCTCTTACTTTTACTAAAGAGGTAACCGGTGCTAGCAAGAGACACCATTTCTCTTTTAGCAGCTCCCACTCTGAAGATCATAATGAGAATCTGGAGTGACCTGTCATCCTCAGGACAGAGCCGAGGGGCTCCTGGGCCCAGGTGTGAAGGTGGGCAGCCTCCTAGACACTGGTACAAAAGCCAAGCTCTGGGAAGAGGGAAGGAATACAGGAAACCTCAGGACACCCAGCAGGAAATGATACTGTGCAGGTCGGCCTGCTACACAAATGTGTATTTGATGTTGTTTCCTGCCCTCTTTATTGTGACCAATCATAGTGTTTTTTTTAAAACTAAGACTTACTAGGATTTACCTGACTTATAACTCTTTAGTTACCTTTAAAGACAGTGAATGTGATCTCTTCCTAAGAGTGTAAGTTCTCCCCATGTGGTTCCACCTATGTGCTTCTTGTCACTCAGCAGAAGACTTGAAGGAGGCCCCCATAAATGTCTGGAATATCTCCACTCTCCCCTCTCCACCTACCTCTTTTCTTGCCTGTACTCTGCTCTATGAGTTCTAGCTGTTGGCTTCCCCACCTTACAGCCTGTCCCTAATTCCAGGTGACTTCCTGTTGAGCATCCCTTCCTTGGCTGGGAACTGGATTCCCACGGTGTGAGCTGGAACAAGGGTCACACTCATCTCCTGGGCTCAGCTTCATCTGGGGACCCTGTCTTCTCTGACTAACTTTCCAGGGCCTGAACATTCTACTTCTGTAGATGTTTAACGTCGGAGGGTATACAGACACCCCCACAGAGGGTATCAGTCTCCCACCTGGCAATATGGCACACAGTTGAAAAAGGAAGACAAAGAGAGAAAATTGTACAGATGAGGAGCTCTGGGGTGGCCAGTGCTCTCTGTGGGACAAAAGGGCCAAGAGTCCAAGAGCTCCAGGAGTCCAAGGCTCACACCTTTAATGGTATCCCTCAGGGAGGTGGGTGGGGGTCGCAGCAGAGTGCCAGGGAAAAGAAACTTTGCTGACACTGGCTGTAAGGAGAAACAAGGCACTCTTGCACCAGGCAGAGAGGCCTCCAATTAGCAATGCAATAATGGATAGTTTGATGTATGCAAGGCTGGCACCTTTACTGCCAGGAAGGTATAATTCGTTCTGAGTCCCACGGCCTCAGCTGAGGTGTTATTTCATGTCTTAGTCCTGAAATCTCACAGGCTGTTGCTTGAGCCTCTATTCCAGTGGGGGGCAATACCGACTCACTTTGCTATGCTGAGACTCATTGGCACCTCAGCCAGACTCGAGTAGGGTTGAAGTCAAGGTCAGGTAAAGATGGAGGCAAGGGGCATTGTTTCTCAGAGGAGCTTGGCAGACTCCCACAGGGTAAATCTTTTACCCACTGTTGGGCAGGGTCCTCAGTAACCTTCTCACACGACTGGGTGGACACTGAGTGCCCCCTTGCTGAGGGCAGGACAGGTTCTTCCTGGGACTTTAGGGTGGGCCTCCTCGATGCTCCTGGGGCACCAAGGCAAGCTTACACTGGCGCTATTGTTACCCTGTCTCCTGCATGGCTCAGATGTATGGTCTCACCTCCTGTTACGGCTCAGAACTAGAGGGTCCCCACAGGCCTCTGTGCTCAGAGGTGGGGCTGTTAAAGGGTGGGTCTATCATGGGCAGGCGGGGTCAGGTTGGAAGGGGGTGTCCCTGGGGCAGGACCTGAAGGTCATCTTCCACCCCAGTCCTTTCCTTCTCTCTGACCCTCACCCCTGTGAGCAGCTTTCCTCCCCTGATCTCTCTGCTGTGCTGTTTCTGCCCTGGAGCCAGTCAAGCATGGGCTGGAACCACGGGCCGAACTAAACCTCTCCTTGAAGTTATGAGTGTTGGATATTGTGTGTCAGTGGAGAGAAAGCCCCTAAGACTTCTCATTCAGACGTCAAGTCCCAGGGGTCAGGAACCCTCTACATCCTATATTTCTATGTCCCTGCCACCCCAAATAGACACATTAAACTATGACCCAGCCTTTATCCAGTGCAAACTTCCCTTGAGGTGTTAACAAACACCACACTTGGGGCAAGGGTTTAGGTTAAGTGTCGCACACCTGTAATCCCAGCACATGTGAGGCTGCGGCAGGAGGATCACTGCAAGTTTGAGGCCAGCCTGGCCTACACTGTAAGTTCCAGGCCAGCCTGAACTACATAGCAAGACCTTGTTTCAAAAAAACAAAAAGCAAGCACAGTGTAGGTTAAACATCAGTACCACATATTCCAATGTTACAAGCAAAGATGAATGATGATTCAGCCACAAGATTTCCATCCGCGGCTAGGAAAAACTAGCACCATCACCTCATTAAGCTCATGGAGAAAAGTTTCCTCATTATCCACCAGACCATTTAATATCTCCCCAAGGTAATAACTTTTTTAAAAGCGTGCACACAAATCAAAACCTTCCAAACTCTACAAACTAAGAAGTCAGTTCTCCAGCCCAAATATAAAAGGACCTCTACCGCCAACTCAATGTAAGCATCAGTACAGTAATATTCAATTAGATCATTTTGCTGTTTTGGTTTTTCCGCTAATCAATCATCATTAATTTTATTCTAAATGGAAGTATGAAAAATTAAAATTATTTTTCATCTGCTTTAATATTCTGGAAGTGTAGGAAAAAAGCACAGTGAGACTTTACTCCTTCTCTGCCCTCATCAAAGTACACCCTCACTGGGACACACCAGCTGCAGTCCAGCACACTTCACTCCCGTTCTCAGGGTGCGTTTCCTCTGGTGCTGTTTGTATCCGGGTCTTGGTTTAGCCTAAGAGTGTAATGTATTTATAGTATGTGAGGAGCCATGGGTCATCCACTGACCACTTGTTAAGTGCCTCGCCCCCTGCAGACCTCCCCCGTGTCCTGGTGTGACAGCAGTGGACATGACATCACACGCCCTGCTGCGGTAGAGTTTGCTTTGAGTGGGGGTGCGGAGCAGTCAAGCAGGTAATGGTAAGGCAGCAGCAAGAGCTCTGAATACAGTAAAATAGGTGATAGGCTCAGTGCTCGTGGGAAGGGCTTAATAAGAGCCCTTCAGGGTGCTCAGGGAAAGTCTCTGTCATATGATGTGGCACTGTCATGCTGTCACAGAGACTCCATGACTTGGGGACACAGCCAGGTAGAGGGATTATAGGGAAGCAGGAAGGTGCTTTGGGGGACATGGATGTTTTGCTTGTGGCCATGGTCTCCAGGGCGTGATCCTATGTCGAAATTTATCAGACTGTACATTTTACACGTGTGATGTGCGTTATACTTCAATACATCTATTAGAGACAGACATTGGAGGTGGGGTGTGAGGGAAACGCCATCAAGGCCGGTCTGTAAATTCTGAGCGTGACACCGGGTGACAGGAATTAAACTGCTCTTCCTGCTGCCGAGGTTGGGAAGGCAGCAGGGTTCCATAGAAAATATAGTGTGGTTTTCCACACGAGTAGGAAATCAGAGATGTCTACAGACACACGCGGACGGTAACCCATCGCCGCACACTAGAAAGAGGAGGAGGACGGGGTCTGCCCGGGACCAGCCACGGTCCGGCCCGCGGCATCGGAGCCAGAAAAGGCACAAGATTTGTTGGTTGCTTGCCGCCAGCCTTCCGGAGTGGCGGTCCAAGGCAGCGCCGCCGTCGGGGTCCGGCCCCCGCCGCGCTCCGCGGGCGCCCGGCTCCG